CATTCTACTCTGCTGACAAACCAGTCTAGCAGCAGCATTCTGTATTCTTTGAAGCTTATTCAAACGATAGTCAGGAATACCATACAAAATACTGTTACAAAAGTCAATCCTAGATGACACAAATGCATGCACCAGAGTCTCAGTGCACCGTCTAGAGAGGTACTTCTGTAAACGCCGAATATTATAGAGATAATAAGTTTCTAATAATATCCATCGCTAACCACCGACGCTGAGGTGACTAGTTGTTTTAGTATATACTAAAAAAGTGAGATAATCTACACCACCGTCGTTAATTTGAGTGATTTCTTCGCTTGTCACGGATGCAAACCAGGACGCCATATTTTCCCTAGTTGCTCGGAGATAAATAGCAAAGGATATTCGGAGTTTGACTAGCCAATCAGAGCGCGCCTTCAACGCTATCCACTATTTTAGTATATACTAACAAAGGATATTCCGAGTTTGAGTAGCCAATCAGGGTGCGCCCTCAACGCTATCTACTGTTTCAGTGTATACTATACATGTCTGTACCCATTTTTCCGCCCATAAGTAAATAAATAGATTCATAATTTAGCAATGGACACTCCACTGAGTGGCTCTCTATAAAACATTGCCTTGTTAAGATCTTTTTATTATTAAATGGACTTTTCTAAGGTCTCTTTTACTATCATCGTAACTTGTAAATTGAACTGTTATATTCTTGTAATGGTTTTGTTTGCAGGATTGCCCAAGTGCGCAACAAAACTTCAGGAATGAACATGGTCAGAAAGTGTGCCAAAAACTTAGACCCAATTCAAGCTTTTACAACTTCCAAAGAGACGGTAAGAAACCACAATATCCGATCGGGGACAAAATAAAAAACTCCTTTGATAAAGAATTTCTCCCCGAGATCTTAGTTTGGTTCCCAGATAGGTATTGCTGGTATTTCTGCCAAGATCCTCGCGGCCTCTGTTCGGGATTGCTCCGAAATCATGCTAATAGTTCCTTTGTTTTTTTTGCATCTTTTTTTTTTTGGGGGGCGGGAATTAAGGGGAGGCCAAACTGTTGGCTTTATCCCACTTAATCATCACTGTACAGCGAGATAATCGTTTCGAAAAGTCTTGGGAAAAATATTACATTTATATCGTTTAAGAAACACGTCAGGGTCTACTCAACAAACTGATAAACTTCGAACCTTTTCTTTTTAGCATGTCGCATATATTGTAGACAAGGAAATCGGGTAACACGAACGGCAGTCTTTCACGACGGGATCAGGTGTACTAACAATAGAAAGGACCGCAGCGTCTGTGTCCAAGGGAAATGCAGGGTAAGTTTTGCTACCGTAGCTTACGTGATTTTCTTTGCATGTACGGATTGGTGAAATATAAGAAATCAATTTATTGCTGATTTAATGTCGACTTGAACGAGTATAAATGATTTCCATCAAGTTTGATGGTAAGTTTTTTTATTGGAGAACCAATGAGAGTTAATGAAAAGCTGCTGGGATTTTTTGACCAGCTATATAAAAATTGGACTCGGCCAACTCTTCAATGGACTGCATCGTTATCACTGCTTCCAAGACATATCATCAGAATTGATTTATCAATGCTATCCTTCCAAAAATTCAGACTAGTCTGAGTTTGTGCAAACTGTTTGCGAACAGAATCTATCCCAGGAAAAAACAACCTTCAAGAATTGTTCACCTCATTCCAAAAATTATGTTGCAACTTTTGCCTGCGACTTGTCGAAACGAATTTTCACTTTCCGTTCTCTACCTCGAAGCTGACATGCCTTAAAGCAAGTTCTATCACTTCTCTGATGCTGTTTATTCCATTCCGGGTTAATATTTCTCTATTTTATTACTTTGCATATTAGTCAGTTGGTTGTGATAACGTGTTAGACGGAAAGACAATGCTCGACCGTTGCGGTATTTGCGGAGGAGACGGAGATACCTGCGGTAAGATCAAAGCAACCTTCACATACTCTCCAGCTTTAACAGGTGATAAGGCAAAGTGACCAATCATTATTTATGCCTGGAGAGGGGGGAAGAGGAGGTCGGAAGATTTTGGTTGTGGTACGATAAAAAATTTCCTGATCTTCCCATAAGGCCATGTAATATTCTCCATGTCAGTTAATTTGCAGTCAATTTTCTATATTCCTTCCTTTACATCTTGTTAGCCAACTTCGCTCCCAGGGCCCTTTCTCTTAGTTGGTGGTGGGGGAAATTCCCTGGGAGCGAGGTTGCATGTTAGCAACGACTAAACTTTCCTCTGTTCCCCCTGAAAACCATGTGACCCCCCTCAAAAAAATTCTCCACACCCCTCCCCTTCCAGGCGATGCAAAATGACTTTCCCAAACGGAATGTTAATTTGTTATTTTGCATCTAAAAAGAGAGATATATTGCTGATCAAAAGGAGGTAAATTCCAAACTGACTGGGAAATCCACTTTCGTTTGTTTTCTTTGGTTCGAAATGCTTGTTCCTTCATACCAAAAAAATAAACGTTAGATCCAAATATTTCCAATTAATGCTTTTGCTCTTAAGTTTTCAGTATTTTCTTTGTAAATCGTTCTCTTCCTCTGTCTGACAAATTTCAGTCACTTCCTCCCTTTTAAACTGAGGCTGTTGTTTTAAAAAACTTTGTAATCTTCAAAATTCTTCCAAATATTCAAGGCTCATCCCCAAGCTCTTCACTCGGCTACGAATGGGTGGTTGGGAATTGGTCTCCCTGTTCAAGGACCTGCGCTGTCGGTAAGGTGAAAACGTTTCTTAATCACAGCTATTCTCAATAGAAAATAATTTCTAGAGGTATAATTATATTGGAGACATGCTATGGTCCAAAACGAAATCTTTTTTCTTGATAGAAGCCATACACAACCCATAATTTCTCTATTCATTCGAAACGACAGCTTTAGACACTCTTACGATGGCCAATTTTTGTTATAACATAACCAAAGTAAAACACGCGCCGTGATTGGTCAATTAAGCAACCACCATTTGCCCATGGGTGTAAGCTGCTGACGTTACCAAATGAGAAAATGCAAAGACTAGTTATGGATGCACACGGGAGGTTTGCTAAGCACTCAAGAAGCTAGAGTCGCTCTCGGCTATCGCCTCGCGCGACTCTTACGCTTCTTTCGTGCTTAGCAATCTCCCACATGCATCCATGATTCAGTTGTGTACGCTGTGGTGTTTACCATTTGTTATTTATACACTTAGTTGATGAAGCCGAATTAACTTGTAATACGGATGAAATGGTAAATTGGCCACCGTAACGATTACAAAAGCTGACGTTTCGAGCGTTAGCCCTTCGTCGAAACGAATAGCTATTCGCTCCGACGAAGGGCTAACGATCGAAACGTCAGCTTTTGCAATCGTTACGGTGGCCAATTTACCATTTCAACTTTGTTGATATATCCAAATTATTTCGTTACCCCCACAGACGCAGCCCCAAACAGTTTTTTTAGAAACTATCAGCCTTTATTCATTTTTATCTCGTAATACTCCCGCACTGACGCAGCACCTCATTGAGTTTCTTTTGAAACTTACCCCCTTTATCCACTACACAACGATTGGTTTCGAATGAGAGGGAAGAGGCTCTTTAGCTCTCTACTCTTGAGTCGCAAGACCTTATAGAGGTTCCTCTTCCTTACAGGTACAAGAAAACGTGATGTTCGTTGTGTTAGGATAGATGACAAAAGTCCTGCTAGTAACTCTGCTTGCCCTGGAGAAATGCCAGAAGTTGAAGAATGTAACGCGCAACCTTGTCCAGCAACGTGAGTTGTATACATTCAAGTCTCATTTTCTTAGGAACGTATTTTATGCAGGTGACAAGTTTTTAGCGTCATCTTTAGTTTCGTACCTGAGCTTTTGGGTGCCAGATTGCTCAACGGACAATGAAACAAAGAAAAGGAAGCTGTAGTGATAGATCAGAGTAAGAAATATATACGAACCTTAGCTGGGGAAAAATACAAGTGGTTTAAAAAGATAGTCATTATGGTTATGTTCGCATCGAGGCACTTCCATTTCAATCATTTAGATGGGCTTTCTCGAAGTGGACGCCTTGTTCAAAGACTTGTGGACTAGGATATCAACGGCGTCAACTTAAATGCTTGCATGAAGTGGCCTTGGACGACTTCAGAGAAACCAATTCGTGCTCAGAACCGAAACCCGTTAACAATGGACCAACCGTGCTAGTCTGCAATAGATTCCCTTGTCCGGCCGAATGGAATGTGGGGCCCTGGTCTGCGGTTAGTTATATTTTAAGTTAAACCCTAGTCTGACGACACAAACCTCTATGTAAACAAAAATAGTCGAAGAATGAAAAAATATGTCATTTTCAAGTTACGTGCATTAGGAAAAAAAGGAAAGGGTTACCCGCTCGGATTCCAACTTCACTTCTTTGTATTTCATCACTGGCATCCTCATGGAAATTTGAATATATTTTTATGATGAGCTGTATGATATTGACAACTTCCTCCATATTCTAGAAAAGCTTGAAGACTTTGCGTTTAAAACACTTAAATTTCATCGTGAAAATGGAACGGCCCTGCCTATACAGTCTTTCAGTTGAAGAAAATTGTCTAAGATATACTTCCCGGTTTACCAAGCACAGAGGGCAAGATTAATTCAAATTAGAATTGATGATTCCCATAACATAATGTGCAAGGCCTCATTGTTGGTACATAATCCTTTACAAAGTATTTTCCAGGAAAAATGGTGGTGGTATGGTTTTGTATTAATGGAGGTACTGTTTATCAAGTTAGCCCATAAGATAAAAGTTTGACTATTCGTGTATCCTTTATATTTGATTGAACTGCAGTGCCCCACAAAGTGTGCAGTTAGTAAGATCCGTCGTGACGTGTCATGTTCAAGAATTGACGAATCTGGAAACCTTACCATCATTGATCCAGAGTTTTGCCGATATCTGAACAAACCTCTCTCTGAGAAGAATTGTACTACGAATAAATCTTGTGAACGTAAGTTACTCAGTTTGTTCAACAACGATATCTAGAAATTCCCTTCTTTTGAAAGAAAGGACTGATAGATAGAGAAAATAAATCCAGAAGTATCAAGATATTTTCAATTTTTATTTCTTGGCTTAGTGAGACCACCCACTTGCCCTCTCAATGAACATCACTGCTTAAATGGAGGAAGCTGTCAACCGGATCCGTCAGGTTACAAGTGCGTTTGTGATGAAGGATTTGCTGGCGTCGAGTGCGAAAGTAAGTGTACCTGAGCTAAATGGCTTACACTGCTGGAGTTTATCCAGGCTTTAAAAGTATGAAATAACTAGAACTACTACGTCTCTGGCAGCACCCGCGGGCAAGATGAAGCGAATTCTGTGTTCTGATTGGCTACCTAAGCGGGCAAGAGGCCCATCCTTCTCTTTTTTGTTTTGTTTTTGTTTTTTTTGTTGGCATTTTTATGGACTAAGTCAAGGTCCATAACGGAAAAAAAGAGCTTGGCCAGCATCCGGCCATCTTGATCTCACACTTGGTCAATAACGCATATAGATTGTGGGATGCCAAATCATCTAAGGGGTAGCTCGCCCTCGCCATTCTGACAAGGTTCCCTCACCGTATCGCTGGCGCCCATAGATATACTTACAGTAGGTGTAAAAAGGCACGTGCTGTCATCGAAAAACTAACCAGCTGCACTAGCCAGCTCTATTACCATTACCCCATTGTACATATCTGCAGATACACATCACATACGTAAGTTGCATTATGGTAAAAATTAACCCGGTTGAGTTGATGTAGTCCAACGGATTGTCTGCATCATTGTTCTACAATTTTCGATTAACGAATTTTCAACACAAATTACCTGACCCAACCAATTTTTTTTTTCTTCTTTTTTTTACCTATCTTTTATTATTTACTATTAGTCCTTTTAAACCCATGTGACAAGATTCCGTGTTTGAACGGTGGTGAATGCTCACCGGGAATAATTCACCATTACAATCATACCTGCAAGTGCCCACCTCTCTATACAGGAAGAAATTGCGAAAGTAAGTGAAAATTAATGTTCCAAGACTCATCGTATTTTCGCTCTTGTATGAAAATTACCACAATAGTTAACAATTGGCGGGTTAAAATTATGCTCCTATACTTAAACCTAGGCATTGATTGTTGCCAGAAGTTAAAAGTCACAAAAATCACATAAAGAAGTTTTAGTCCCTATAGGTAGTGATCATTGGATTCTTCTACATATGCTCTAAATTGTAAATGTAGTTTTGTAGTGGCGTCAAGTTAATACATTGATTGCAAAATAAAAATTTTAGCATTCGACCGCCGTATACCAAGAGATGTGTTATCTGACAAAGATTGAGAAGTTGAAGCATGCGTGTCTATATCTTTCTCCCTAACTTTCTCCTTCCATTCACTCCTATCGTAATAAACGCATACGTTTTTCATGTCATTTTAGAGTTTTTCATGCAACCGTACGTTAATTTGAAATTATTACAACCAGATGCACAGTCTTTCTTATGGCCTTATCTGAAGATGTCTCGAAGTTCAATCAAAACATTTGCTCCTTCAAAAGCATCTATTTCTTTTCCAGCATTATCGTAGCATATTTACCCTTGATCTTGATCTCTCTATTGCAGCTAAGATAACAGCCTGTATGAGCAATCCTTGTTTAAACGGAGCCACTTGTAATGATAAAGGTCTCTCAGACGAATACTCTTGTATGTGCCCGCAAGGCTACATCGGCCAGCGCTGTCAAGGTAACATTGCATGAATTTTTGAAGTATTTGAATTACTCTTCGAATTTTAAAGTTCTTTAGAAAAAAATCACTTGAGCAAAATCGTTAACTACGAAAGTAAAAGAAAAAACTGTTTTAGTTGTAGGAATAATTTATTCCACAAATGCCACTTTAAGGAAGTGTCCCAAACATTTGTAGACGACCGCAGAAACTTGCATGGCCTTTCTTCTACAAATCCTCTGTTATCGTAACTAGCCATGACCAGGAGAGTTAAGAATTCGAACATTTCGTAAAATACTCTCAGTATTTCGTAGTTCTACGTGATTGCCAAATGAATTTTTATCATTTTTCTTTAAAAAAACATCTTCTGTCTTAATGCCTTTCTCCATTGCTTTATTTTGTTTATTTTTTGTTACAGTCTCTACTTTTTATCGCATCGGATGTTTTGTTCAGAGAAGAAATGTTGTACCCAAACTGGCTGACCTCAGAAAACAGGTGGATCTTAGTGACACACAACCCACGATTATAAAGTGTGCAGAACTAGCCCAAGAGAAAGGCTATAAGTACTTTTCGGTCGGGCTGAATGGAATTTGCTTCTCTGGTCCAAAAGCTGGTGAGACCTATTTTACAAAAGGTGTTGCTCCTATAAAGAAATGCGCTAGAGGCATCGGTTCAAGAGCCTCCACTGTCGTTTTTACGTTTGGTAAGTTAGTTCATATAAGGCAGTCGCAGAAGACGCGGTAGCCTAAGGGGGGGGGACACACATCGGGGGTGACCGTTTGTATACTTGAATTTGTCGATAAGCAGCATACTATCGCCCTTGAATGCGAGAAATATCCTCGATTATCATCATTGAAATAGGGGTATTTTTACCTAGAGGGTTGTACATTGTCGTCTGGCTCTGAGGCTGAAGACGGTGAAGTTTAGCGATTTGAAGGCTTCGGCAACGAGCTCATGCTCAGATGAGTACGTCCCTTTTGACAAATTCATACATTTACTGTAACCTGAAATATAAAAACGGCCACACAGTTTGTTTTTGCTTCCAGTGGAATTTACTAGACAGCGGATAAGTTAAACAGACAGAACTTGACGTTGCATAAATGGGGGTTCCATCACCTATCACACAATTCTTTTACCCGTTCTTCTTTTCCTTAACATTTTCAAAGTCCATCGGGAGTTACTATAATTTAATCAAAATAAACTTCAACCTCACGAGAATATCTCTTAAAGATATGTTTCAGTTCAGTGTTATACGCTTTTGGTATGACTCATGCCATCAGCAGTTTATTATCGTAATGTTGAATCCGTTGACTTTGTTTTTAGACCTTACAGTCACAGTTGTAATCGCATAACAGTAATTATTTGGAATTACTACCGTTACAATGGTTTCAGAAAACACTTGCGCATGCAAACGTGAGGAGTGTTAAACTACGAGAAAGTATAATTACAATCAGGTTGGAAGTGGCCAATGTACAAGGCCCTCTTCAATTTTTTAGGCATCTGGTAGTTTTGGCTAGAATTTTAAAGCACTTAATTTCTGTATATTATTCTGATAAAACTCACGCACTTTCTTTGCCAATACTATTTTTCCTTACATCTAGAATCAGTTCCATCGTACAAGTCTCTCGGTTGCTACGTAGCCTGGGCCAGGAAGAAACCAAAACCTTTGCGAACTAGATACATCAACTTCCGCAATCAACAGAACAAACAGACCGGAATCACTGTTGATCAGTGCTCCCGCGTAGCAAAGGCCAAGGGCTACGCATACTTTGCCGTGCAGAACATGGCAGAATGTTGGTCTGATGTGAATGCTAAGGATACTTATGATAACCTTGGTCCTTCTCAAAAATGCAAAGATGGGGTAGGGTTGAAGGGAGCGAACATGATGTATCAGTTGGCCGGTAAGAAACATATTATAATCATTGATTGTCACAGAAATTATCTACCTGCGCCAACTTGTCTTTGAACGCATAAAATTTGTCAATTTTCATGCATAAACCGTTTGAAATCTTCTCAGTCGAATTAAACTCCCGATTTCTCATCACCATCACTCCATATCCTACAACAGGTATATCATCGTAAGAGAGAGGTAACATGTAAACATCCAAACAAATTTTAAGAAAACTTGAAGAGGCACGCAAAACTGCAACACGGTACAATTGCATCTGATTTCACTTTTTCGAGATTTTCAGACTATGATGGGCTGGAAATTTCATCATCCAGCGTTCTATTCGTAACCGGTTCTATTTATTGCGGAGGTGGCTCCAAACTCTCTCACCAGTGTGGTTTGCTCATGGTCGCGCATTGCCGTTGTGGTTAATAACTTATAGAAAACGTTTCTTTCCTTTGTAGGATAGCTGGCGCTAGTTTGGTCGTTGAACGGACTTGATTTCTCTGGCAGCGTCAACTCACTGTTCGAAGGAGAAACTGCTGCAAAAACCTTTTATCTAACAAGAATTCTAATAGATAGTGTGCTTGCTTAAATTTTGGTCTTGAGATTACGACGTAATTTTATTTGATGATCAACAGAAATTGACGAAAATTTTGAATGCTTTGTAATCAAAACAAACTGCAAATGGAAATACGCAATAAAATGTATTTTCAACCTGCACAATAGTGTTTTGTAGCGATGACAATTTAGATTTGATCCCCCTGCACAAATCTTCCCCAAGGCGCGTATCGTCCAAATTTTAGTTTTCCAATTAAATTTGGCGAATAAGTGATCTTTTCAGGATGTTACTAAAACTGCTAACGGGGAACGGGGAACGGGGAACGGGGAACGGGGAACGGGGAACGGGGAACGGGGAACGGGGAACGGGGAACGAGGAACGGGGAACGGGGAACGGGGAACGGGGAACGGGGAACGGAGAACGNCGTTCCCCGTTGCCCGTTGCCCGTTGCCCGTTGCCCGTTGCCCGTTGCCCGTTGCCCGTTGCCCGTTGCCCGTTGCCCGTTGCCCGTTGCCCGTTGCCCGTTGCCCGTTGCCCGTTGCCCGTTCCTCGTTCCCCGTTCCCCGTTCCTCGTTCCCCGTTCCTCGTTCCCCGTTCCTCGTTCCCCGTTCCTCGTTCCCCGTTCCTCGTTCTCCGTTCCCGTTCCCCGTTACTAGTTTTAGTAACATTCATCTTTGCACCGCTTTGATGATAAGAGTGTCTTAATGGATGATGGCTTTTTCAGCTGACGGTCAAAGTTCTGGCTAATTTTCGGCTACGACTAATATCTTTCCATCGTTATCACCAGAAATGTTTTATTCGTTCAGCTTTTTTACAACAAACAGCTAAAATTTGTCATTTTTACGCCTAACGGCTATTTTTCAATTTTTGTATTTCATACTTGTTTATCATCAATATTATTGTTATTTCTAAATCATAGCCTGTTATCTCTGACACCGTTCCCTTTCAATATTTTTGTTTTTTCAAATGGTTTCTGGGGTTTGAAGCAAATAAGGGTATTCCTACTAGTTTAAGGACGTTTCAAAAGACGGTCGAGCAGTTGGAATATTTAATTATGTCAAGAAATAGTTTGTTTGATTTATAAGGTCAGGTTGGGCATATTGGTCAACATTGTATTTGCCTTTAATGATCCTTATAAGTAACTTGATTTTTAATGCAATTCCCAAAATACCCGCGCGGTTCGTAGGTAAATCACCTAACAAGAGATATGTATGAGGACTTCAAAAAGAAATACCAATTTTGTGCTTCGCTTTTCTTTTCAAAAATAATTGATGGCGCGCAATTAATTACCAACGGACAGAGCTTAAATCGTGCCCCAAAGCCATGTCGAATATACGGGTCTCTTAATTGGGGGCAAAATTTGACATTACCACACAAAAGCACAATTTGAAATCTAACAATCGTCCCATTCGCTTTTAATATAAGTAAAGAAACAAAGGGAGATCTTAGTGAAAAGGCCCGACTTTATATTCTATTGTAGAAATTCAAGTGTGACAGACTAACTGTCAGCAGGATTCTGTCATTCGACACAGTTGATTTATGGACGAATCAGACTAAACTCAACGGCTGAATCGTTCAAGTAATTTTATCCTTCAAACGAACTGATCCTACGAAACTTCATCGAAAAAAAAGAAAAAAAGAGACAAGAGCAGCCAAAGATTTGAACAAGAACGCGTCCACTGGGAAGGTCAGGAATGATAATAGTTTAACATCTAAGAATTTTTTGGGTCTTCACGGTATCACCCGATGGCCATGAACGGCTCCAAAATTTAGCCGTTAAGCGTAAAAATTGACAAATCTTAACCCTGTGGTGTATAAAAAGTTAACCGTAGAAGAAAATTTCAGGTGACGGCAATGAAAAGATATTAACCGTTAGTAGTAAATTGGCCAAAATGTTAAGCGTTAGCCGTAAAAGCCATCATCCCATTGAGACGCTCAATCAGAACGTCCTACATAGCCACATTGGTTAAAGTTTTGTGTTATTATTGTTGTTTTACATCTAGATTGTGCTGCTATTTATTGGTTCTGAAATGTATAGGGAAAAAATTCTCAAACGGTATCCTTCTCAAAATTACCACTGATTTGTTTTTCTTTTTGTGCAGTTATGCGTTAAATTTTTCGTCAGTTATGTTTTCAAAAATCTGGCGCCAAATTAAAATTCTAACGGAAGTTGAGGAGGGAATTAACACTTATTTGTAATAATATTATTTTTTTCATTTGTGATTTTACTTCAATAAATTGTTTGCATGATATATATTTCATGCATTTCTTCAGCATCATGCAAGAAATTTGTACGTCTTAGCAAGAAGTCCTCCGCAAATTGTCTTTTATAATGCCCAGCTCAGCATGTATCAGAGTGGAACTTTTTTTTTAAGTGTACCATACCCTCAAACATTCAAAAATGTTTTGTTTACAAAAAGTTAACTCTCCTTTACTTACCAAAATCCACGTTTTTCCGCGACAACAGGTCAAATTTTGCGACTGCTGTATTAATTTCTCCAGCAAATTTTAGTTTTATTGTCACTGCTATTATTAATTTTGAATTCGTCTTCAGAAAGAAAAATATCAAGGAATTTTATTGTCGTATCGGCTTGTCCAACATTGATAGGTACCCAGTATCAATAGTTAACGCTCGCAGTCTTCTATTTCGTATTGACAAATTTGAAACTTGAATAACGTCATGACAGCCATTCTTTGAACACCTGCAAACTAAGTCATCAGATAATAAATAAACCGATCGATAATAAATAATATAAATTCACTTTCTAAGGTTGTGATTTCACTTTAAAGTTCTAAAAGAAAATATTGTTATTTCGACTACAAGATGAGACTCAACGGTTGCAAGAAACTAAAAGAGACATGCGCTGTGCAATATATATTTCTTATTTTTAACTATACGTGCAGTTAAAGAGTTGAAATTTGTTCCCAGACCAGATAGCACAATCCTTGTAGAGATATACTTGAAACCTATCAATGCGTTGTAGTGAAGTGACGCCCAAAGAAGGTCATGAAAATGCAATAATCTCCGATACAAAAGAAGCATGTCTACCAGACTATTACTTACTTTTGTGTCAGCGGAACTAAGAGTGTCTCATTGTGTCAAAACCCTGCAGCACGCACGCCTACACGTAGACAGTTAGCGATCTGCACCAGATTTTTTCCTGATCACGTCAAAAGGAAATACGTCTTATTACAGACGATATTGATCATTTTGTCTAGCAAATTGCAAATGGTTTAATTTCCATCTTACAAGCCACAAAACTACCATCAAAAAAACTCATTTTTAAATAACCAAGAACCGTGACGAGATGTCATGTTTTCTTGACTCGACCATTACCTCAAGACAGGGCCTAATCAGAACTCGTTGAGAGGACAGTAGTGTTTATATGATAGATTTTAGAAGCAATCAAAAATTATAAATTCTGTTTCGTAGAGTGTGTATTTTGCACTGTCGAAGTGTGCATTAATTATGCTCCACTGTCTACTGCTTCTGCTTACAATCGCAATTACTTGAATGATCTAATAAATTGTTTACTAATATTTTCAATCACTTGTAAGTCTTTTGAAATCAAAGGAAACAGAGAATACTGATGGAACGTGCAGGAGAAAAGCTAGATTCAATGAAAGCGTTGCTTAAATTAATTGGATTAAATTGCGTAATTTCCAAAGAAACTTACTTGAAGATTAATGAAGCGGAGTAACAAGGAAACCCTTAAAAACAATTAAGAAAATGCAAATAATCTGTGATGCAATCGTAGAAGTACTTACTTTTGTGACATCGGACGTGACAGGGCAGTTTAAAGCGTGTGGCTGGACCTCGAGTGCCAATTGTTTTTTGTACTTATCACACCTTGACGTCATCTGGGATCTATTACTGAGCATACGCACGGGTGCATTGAATGTATTTGTTAACAAACTTTGTAGTTTTTTCTCTTGATCAGCGAGTAAAATCTTTAAAACTTAATGAATATTTTTATATTTCGGTTATTATCGTTAGCATTATCATTTTCGTTATTTTGATATTATCCGATCGTTTCGCTTGATTACGATAGACTTCGCTTGCGAAAGTGGGAGCGAGAACAGAAATGAGACAGAGAAAATATTAGAAAACCTATTCTTAACCTACCATTTGTGGCTGAAATTACATTCCAGGAAGGGCGGGAACAATAAGCATCCAGAAAGATGCTAAAACGGTCACGTAGCTATTTAACTTGTAGTTTAGTACAATCCAAAAGCACGTTATTGCCCACAACCATTCCAACATTTTTTGTAAGACATACCACTCTACTCGTAGCATCAGAATGTACTTTTTGGCAACTATCATCGACAAGAGAGGAGCGAAAATGGAAAGGGAATTTTTCATCGCCCAAGATTGCTCGACGTTAGCACAGCCTTCCCAGGACAGTAATTTTTTTAAAAGCCTCTTTTTTGTTAGTGTTTGAATTATGTTTGGATTCTTTCTACAGGAAGGCAGAAAATCTGCCTTACAGCTACGTACTGTAAAACGACGGAAGATTTTCTTTCCTAGTTTGAATAAATTATGTGTACATAAATTTTCCTTTTTTGACAAAGTGGAAGACTCATGTATTACAAAAAATGGACCTGAATGATTATATATTCATTGTATACCTTTTTTCAACTAAATCGATGATGTCCGAGCTTTAATGGGTGAAAAAGGGACTTAAAAGCATCTGTTTAAAAATTTTGAAACGTGGGATTAGATAAAACATTCATGGCCAATCTGAAGTTCTAGATGGTTGAAGAGAAACCATGGTGATAAAAGAAAATTAGTTACTTTGTTGTTTATCTAGAGGCCTATATCTTTCATGATCTAGATACGGGTATTGTAGAGAAACTTTTTTAACTCAGCATTTGAGTCAAAATGCAATGAGGACACAAATAAGAAGAATGTTATTTGAGGAGATAGACCGTGACAGTCACGTTATAAAAGTGAATCGCTATCAAAGAGCACTTTGATAAGCATATATCAGCATACATAAAATAACAACAAAAATTTGAATTATCCCCACTGATTCTATTAAGTAAAGACACCTATCACAAACAGAAAGAAAAACTCGAAAGTAGAGGCATTGCTGCATTCCTGACCAGTGACAATTCGGACGTGCATTCGCCCGCATAACCTGTAGGTATCAGGACATTTCGATCCTGTGTATCAATTTTACTTTATTTCTTTGTAGTTGTTTAGTGCAACACAAACCGCCCTTCTCGACCTATTATGTTTGAAACTGATAACCTATCTTGTGTAGCCCCAGTGCACGTGATCCACGTTCCACGATTTTTTAATTTTCTTACGAAGCGCCGGACAGAGCTATACCTTCCTAGATGATAACGGGAAACTGTACAAACTGCACCCCAGTGCGCAAGCAAATCATTTTGACCAGCTTAGTAAACTAGTCAAATTTCGTAACCGCTTCCTTAGCTTATCTACAGTTAAGACGGATATGACACGTAACATTTTTTATAATTGTTCCGCTCTTCGCGATCGATAGAAACTACATGTGTTCTTATCAATCTACTCCTACTTTTCTTCGGAAAAACTCTATAATATTTTCATTTTCATTTTTCATCTATTGAACTAATGAACCATCTTTGCCTTCACTCAATCCAAACGATAAAGCTTTCGTTCCCTTGTGAGAACCAAATTGATTAAGGCGAAAAACCTCAGCGTAGCAGGGAATTAAATAGCTGCAATAATGAACACCACTTACGGATATCAACTTGGGGAAAGTGAAGAAAAAGCAAATAAGAACTTTCTGACACAAAATTAGCTATTTTGTGCTGACCATAGAAATTGTTGCCAGTTTTTAGCGATTTTAAAAAACATGCTTCCAGATAAGTTGAAACGGCATGCAAGCTATTATGGTTTTGATATCAGACAATTTGTATCTCCAAACAAGCCCCTTCTTGATATCCTTTCATATGTGATATGAATTCACTTTAAATTAACGTGGCAGCCGCTTAAACTCTTTAAATAAGGATCAGCTTCAAACATTCATTGTAATTTGTTAATATTAGTTTCTGCTCTTTTATTTCGTATTTACTAACAGCTAAACCCGCTCGCCGAAAGAGAGAGCAATTATAAAGAAACGGACTATGATGATGTTCCTAAGATCTCTTCGGCACTCAACCAATTGATGTTTTGTTGAGGAAAAAATTGGCCTTCCTTCTCTTAAACTGAAATTCCTAAGTCTTAATTTCGTTTCAAATTCATCTAGCTTTATTTCGATATGTCATTTAACATGAGTCTTCAGCAGCGGCTTTCCTCTGGAGTGGAAATGTCGAGATAAATATTTTGCATTGCAATTAAATCTCATTTCCCTCAAATGAGAAAAAAATAAATGTGAATCACGTAAAGGCAAGTTGTTCTCGATGAGAGCATTATTACTTTTGTTGTGGTCAAAACTACCTCACGGTGATCAGGATACCCTCTTAGTGACGCAATTGTATCTCCGGTTTCCGGTCTTTTTAAAATGTTCCGTTGAGCGAGCAGATTTTGCCGCAGGGGACTTTTAAATCATTAACTGATGTGATGCAATAACAGTTCCTGTATGAAAACATCAGCTATAAAAAATTTTTAACATTTTCCAGCACCTTCCAGAGAGCCCAGAGATCTGTAACAGTCGCAGAAAATAATCAAGGAACTGATGGTTAATTCTTGGTAGGTATCCATTACAGTAGCTGTGATATTCTGTGAACAAATATATCATTCATAAAACAAATCCAATATCACCAGGCGGTATCAATTTTAAAAGCACATTGAAGGAAAGTTATCCCCTGGTCTAAGAGACCGTCTTTCTAATTTAACTTTTGAAGATTACGAGAGATTTGATTATGCAAAGACATGCACATTTTTAGGACTCTTTTTTCTTACAAGGAACTCAACGGTTTGCTGACATAATGACTCAATAGTCAAGGACTCACTTATTAGGAGAGCGTGAAAACCTAACAGAACTGAATAAATTAACGTAAGGCAGCAAGGAAAGAACTTGACTAGAATATAGTCATTTCAGTTGCACGTTTGAAACTAGGACTAGCGTGAGTATAAAAGCATCTATGAGCGGTGCAGGACATACTCGTTCGTACTTTCACGAGGAAAAGGCATCCATGATCTCCGAATCGATCTCTTGCGCAGTTTTAATTATTTGGAACTTTGCTTGAGAACTCAAAACAGTTTGTTTGTAGAAATTCAACACCTATCTTGCAGATGTCTTCGTTTGACGTCTTTTTTTAAACGGTCAATCTACTCATGCTATCAGGTCCTCTCGCTATCCTATAATAGTCATCATTTTTTTTTGATGAAACCGTAAAGTTGAGTTTTTAGTAAAAGTTTGTCTTTGATATTGAAAGAGGAAGAGAGGTCCCATTTTCTATGACCTTATTGTTTTAAAATTAAGTATGCTACCCTGAAAAGGTTCATCGTGAAGTACAGAACGCCTAAAAAGCGGCACTTGAACGCTTAAAAGCTATCTTTTAGTGAAGAAAATTCCCTATTTATTTGAATGGATTATAGGCAAGTTTCATATTAATGAAAAGAAGTGTAGTTCGAAACCTACATTATCATAACTTCATCCCGGCTTAAGCCGGATACGTGTCGCATCTTAACTGTATCAGTCTTTCGAAAAGAACCCGGGAGCTTAAAAAGATTTCGTTTAACTTGTTCAATGAATTCTTGTTTTCGTAAGGATCAAGATAAAACATTATAGCGTTTTAAGTAAATCCTACCCAGCATCTGTTATTGAGCTAATCTTTGAAACCAAATTGCATATTTAGCGTGCTAGTGTAGCGTTTTCAAAGATGATGCTTATCTAAAAAATAATCATTTCCAAGAAGTGTTGACTTTTTCTTTTGTTTTTCTGTTTTTATTATCTTACGATTATGTCAAATATATTCATTTCGAAAACAATCAGACCTGATGCAGTTTATGGAACATTTACCAGTTAAAAATCCATTCGCATAAAAAGAAAGAAAAATGACAAATATTTAAATATTTAATGACTTCGGCGGATTCATAACTACCAAAAATATAAGAAAACGACAGGCAACAGAAACAAAATTATTGTAGAAATGAAAGGGTACATATTTTCATGTTTTCCGTTGTTTTTCTTTTTTTTTTCAGTTGATTTTGTTTTCTTTTTCGCTCTCTGGCACCTGTGTTCTTTAGTACTTCTACTTGTCCTAAAAATGTAGTATCTACGATGTTGAGCGTTTTGATACAAAAATTACAAGCCTAATACATGCAGATGTGAAGTCTTCGATGTTCATAAAACTTATTTTCTTTGTATACTTTCATTTGTCCCTTAAGCGGCAAGATGAAGCAACATCCTACTTGGATATGTATCTTGTTATATTTAACATCATTGTTTCATGACGGTAAGTTTAACAAAACAAGCTTTTCAACACCAACAACTTTTACCAATCTCCGTCTGTAGGGGTTAGTGCCCAAGCAGTGCAGTTCAGTGACACGCATAAAATTCTAACCGCGAACCTTGCCTGGCGAAATAATCTTAGAAGGCAGGTTATTTAGTGCCTTTCTACCATAAAACTTGTGCATTAATAGTACCCATGCAACATAGTTAACCTTTTGTAAAAACCGCCACTCTAGTACCTTAGTCCCGCGAACGCGGAATATGGATATTATGGGCTTTTCTTATTAGTAGAGTTGAGAAGTCTTTTTTCTTTACGTGAAATATATTTTCATTTTTACTATTTAGGCGAAAATCGCACAATCAATGGAAAGGTAAGTTGAAGATACGGTCACTTTTTCAGTGTGCTTCTGTCAGCGTGCGTTTGACCACATGAGTGTTGCTGACGCCGAGCAACAGAACACAACTCGAAAAGAGTAGACAAGAAATTTATGCAAAAAAAATTTCGAATAGCTTGTCAGAAAATCACGGTTCGAAATGAACTCGGTGAAAATACTTAATCAGCCAATACTGGTATTTAATTGGCCATGTCGATGCAAATGTCTTCAAATCATTATAACTTCGAAAACAAGGCTGTTTCCGCTGACACGAAACTAGTTCCAACGTTATTCTTTTACAACTCGAGTACTCAGCTTTAAAATATCCTATAATTCTCATTTTGGTGGAGGAGGGTGTTAATAATTACTGAAAAGGTTTAAATTTGTGGAGTTCTTCTTATTGGTATCATCGCTTATTTATTTCGTACAATATGGCTTACATTTACTTTTGTCTTTTCTTTTGTTATTGCCTCTTTGTAGCCCCTCCATTATCTCATGACAAAAGAGGAAATGAAACGTTATTTTGGTTCAGAGAACCTGTCAAATGGTAAAAAAAAAAGCAATATTTCTGTTTTGTTTGAATATACGTATATCTAGAATTACAATGCTAAATTCCGTTATTTCTGAACAGATGTAACAAGTCCCTAAGACACCAATACACAACCATGCTGACTTACATACTAAAAACTACTAAATAAATATCATTTTTTTAAAATACGTCAAGTCCCTGAATATGATGTGACAGTTCCACTTGAGTCAAAGGATGGCACCTTCTCTGCATCGTTTTCACTAAATCACCGATTGAGGAGAAGCGAAGAAGGCGATGATGCGACTTATCGCTACAAAATTGACGCCTTAGGAGAGCAGCTACATCTCCACGTTAAACGAAACACAAAATTTATGGCTCCTAATCTAATGCTGGAAACAAGGGATGAGAAAGGACAAAGGGTTTCAAGATCATTGTCTAGAAATGCCTTTATGACTGGCTCGGTGGCTTCAGATCCAGACTCAGTGGTTGCTTTGAGTGTTAGAGAAGGACTGGTAAGTTTATCCAAGAAAAGGGAACCCTGAAAGGGCTGTGTTACTAAATCATACTCCTTTTTTTCGCCGTGGAAAATTGTAGTTAAGTACAAAAGCCGCATATTCCTACGGATTTCTTTGTTACGGTTGTTGGTTTTTGTTACTGCAGTATTTTGCACCAAACCGCACACCATCTTGTGTGGAATTCGAATCATGTCAAAACGAGAAAAGAATTGTTAAACACTAGAACAAACAATCGAGGACCTCCACACCTAGTGATCGTTGATTGAGATGACTTTTATAACCAATACGGCAAACCAAGTTATCTTTACCACTGACGGAGGGCAAAAAATATTAAAGAAATACAAGACAGAACAAAAACCAAAATGGTACAGGGAGGGAAAAGATTCGGAAGAATTGATATAGATGAGTTTTCTGGTTGCACAGACCATTACTTCTTTGAAAACTCCACCAAGCATGATGAAATTAGCGCACGCCGGGAAGCTGTTTTGGTTCATGCAGTGTGAAATTACGCATCACATGAACGTGATCGCACAAAAGCCTGATGTGGCTTAGTCTGCATGTTATTGCATCTAACAGCGAACGTTTTTATTTTTTTTTAACAATTTGCTACATTTTTCTCTATCGGTAGACCGGTATGGTGAGAAGATCACGTGATACTTTCTTAATTCATCCTTTACCCACACGTCTGGCTCGACACTTCGGAGATGAAGAAGGAGCAAAACCTCATTTGATTTTCCGAAGATCTTCCCAGGAGAACAATGGATGTCAAACAAATACAGGTAAGAGCTATGGGAGTTAGTAAGGACAGTGAATACATCACGGTGGCCTTATTCCAAAATATATTCCTCTGATGCTTTGTTTGGCCTGAGGTATCTTGTCTTTCTGTAAAACATGTGTCTTGCTTGGGCTTTTGAGTGATTTGATGAATAAGAAAACGAGAAATTTTCAATTGAGATTCCAAATTAATCTGAGGTTCTAAATGTTTAGCTTTTCCTCACTCAGTGCTTTGTCCAGAAAATCACGCTACACTTTCAACCAGTCACGTGCACAATCCTAAATCAATCTAAACCAATCGCAACTTGGTCACACACGTTTATCGTTATTCATACTGTTGGTTGTGTTTACTTTGAGTCCTGATTGGCTCTTGTAATTACGTCTGCTTTTGGTTTCACGTCACTGGATCGAAGAGCGCTCTATACACTTCTCTTTTCCTCACTGCACACATCGTTGTGAGCAATTTACTACACAGGATTATTCTAATATCCTCCTAAGATCACCAAAACCAGACCTATCGAGAATAACCAGAGAGGAACCACCTAGAGCATAATACCTATTAATGGAATTCAGTATTGTATTGATCGTCTCTTAACTTACAAGGAATTAAGTCCATACACAGCTAACCCTTAATGAAAGTCACAAGCTGTTCCCAGCTGGGAAAATCGAGACTGTTTCATGCGGTGAGAAGCAACGTAGGTTGGGCACTTCAGTTTTCCAAAGAATAATATTCTACCTAGAAAAGGCAGCTTTCTTCCCCGTACCCAGGAAAGGGAAATGAACTCATTCGAACTTAAAGCTGCATCCATTGCACTTACTCAAATTTTTTTTCATTTCGAACCTTAGTAGAAACGATTCCTCGGGAGAGAAGAGCTCGTCGCTCTTCCGAGAGAGCAGGGGATGTTCAAGATGACGACCGCAACAGCAAAGTAACTGATAAATTCTTGGAAGTAGCGATACTCGCTGATGAAAGTGTTGTGGAAGTCCACGGAAATAACTCCGAGGACTATCTGTTGCTTTTGGCCAGCATAGTAAGTTTAACGGTTTTGAAAGTATTATCAATTATGGGCTTCACTTTCTCATTTCTCACATGTTAGTCAAAAATATTGCCACTGAGCAAATGTAAGCTAAACACAAATATGTTAGTTTTGCATTCAGACCAAAGAGGAGTCTGCAAATTAAAATTACAGTACTTTTCTTTGTTTTCCTACCGGCTTTCGTTCCTTTGATTGTATTTGTTCCGTCCTACAGGTAGACACTGAAATTTTCCAAGATCCAACCATCGGAGACCAAAAGATCAATTTTGTAGCAACTCGACTTATTCTTGTCAACAACACTGAGGTAATTATGTGATAAATGGATAGACCAACCCTTCCTCAATAACAGCAGCTATCAGGCAATTATTCGATGAGGTTGTGAATGATAGAATGAATTATCAATTCCGTTGTCTGTCGAAACCGGAGGCTGAGGCAAATAACAAAGACACAAGGTTCGATAGTTCACGATATTATGCATAAACCAAATTCAGTAATTGTTTTATTACACATTTTTAAACAATCTGCAAAGGAGACACTTAACTCTTTCTCGCCCAATCAGAATTTTCATAGTAAGTCTGATGTATAATTAATAATATCAACCATTTCCATGCACTGCTCAGATTGACAAAATTATACTTCTGACCCTTCGGCTGAAATCTTAAGAATGAGTTTGTTCGATAAAAACTTCAACAATATGAATTCAAACATTTAAAGCTCGAGTGTTAGTTCCTTTATCTTTTTCTTTCGCTACTAATCCATGTAAACCATTCTCGGCCTCCAAGGTTTCACGAGAAAATTTCAAACTGATAAACACAGCGTTTCTGTTCTACATGTGAACTCTTTCATCTTCTCGCTTCCATTTACTCATCACTCAGTTACCCTTGCCCCCTTTATTCAACATGAACCCCTCCACCCTTGACTCTCTAATAATGTTAATAATCTATTATTTATTTTTCAACAGTTTGGAGTCAATTCTGCTTCTGGTATAAGTCACAGGAGCATTATTGGTAAAGTGGGAAAATGGGCTTCAGAAAACAACAGACCAGACCAATCGGATCCTTTGCAATTCGACGTTGCGGTTCTTGTTCGTGGGTAAGTGGTGTTATTTCATTTGAGCGTTGATGTGCAGGCACCTCAAATCTCGTTAGAAATAACTGGCAACCCGATGTATTTCAGTGAAACTTTTCTTGGCGGATCTGGCAATCAAATTTTCAACAGTTTCAGATTACACAACTCAGTATACCGTCTTAAAAGCTCGATCGATTTTACATACCAGCAAGGTTTTCTTCGTGAGTATCCTTGCCATGGTTGTTCCTCTTTAATCTTCGCGAAAAAACTCTCGAGTGGAATTCCCTGATATACCGACAAGTCTTATTTTAAACCACCAACATTCTCCGAATTATGTGTCTTTTTCAGCCGCTCAGCAACTGTTATACGTAAAAACTTCTATCTGCTAAGTTTGTTTTTTTAACCTACCATGTCTGGTTATCTTCGTTGGAGTTTAACATACGGAGAAACTTTTCAATTTTTCCCTTTACACTCCCATGATGACCAAGTCTTAGCAAGCCGCTCCTTTCAACAAAGCTACACTGTCCGACGCTGAATGAAACCGCATCATAAACTATCTTAAACCAACTCTACAAAGCTGGATACATCAACAATACTTCTTAATTTGTTTGGACAAATTATATAAGAATTAGCTTCAAACAACACCTTGTGGTTTAAAATTTTCGCTTTACCTTTGCAAATTTACCAAAAGTGGTGCCGGTTAATTAAAACAGTTGCGTTATGATAAAAAGTGCTGTTCGTACCTATTTTGTACTTTTTAATTTGTTGTTTTCGTTTCATTTCACAGCGGTGGAAATGGAGGTAAGCCGATGCCTTTGATAAAACGTTCATAGTATAAGTAATTCACAATCAAACAGCTGACTACACTACTTTATGATGAAACTTATTTGAATAGCATGCACTTTATTTCTGGCAGTGGATACCTAAGTAGAGATGCAAATTGATTTGGTAAAAATTAGACGGGTTTTTCTTTGTTAACTTAAAATAAAACAGTATTCTCGGACAACAAGTGGTGTTAACAACGCAACCACTGAAAAAGATCTATTGCTCGAGTATTGACGTTTAAAACATAAATATAGGTGACATTGCTTCAGTAATATTGTGAAAACTCCTATGTTCAAACCAGTTAACTTTTTTTTTTCCATTTCGTGTCTTCATTAGGTTTAGCATCGTTTGGTGGAGTTTGTGCACGTGACAACAGTGTTAGTGTGGTTAGGCAAAATGGTCTTCAGACGGCATTTTTCATCGCACACGAAGTAGCACATAAGTATGTCTAGACTGTTAACATTCAAATTTTGTGTCGTAGAATTGATTGGCTAGGTGTAATGAAGAAAGATGCATGCGAGTCATGTGTCAATTCATTCGTATTCGTGGAATTTTAACTCATTACAATTACAATTACAATTTATCACTTATAGAGCGCTATTTACAATGACAGATCAACAACGCTTTACAATCAATCCTAACTCACCCATCCCACCCCAGGGGAGGACATCCATCACACAGTAATCTCGTGCGTGGGAAATTAAGGTCTCCTGCCCCTAACCCTGCAGGAGACGGGACCTCCCTTTATTCGTCCCTATCCGAGAAGACTAGAATATCTAACCATTTCTTGATGTTATAGAAAGGTAGCATATTCTTCTCAAATTTTTTAAGACCTTGAGTGTTGGTCTGGCCGGGGCTCGAACCCTCGACCTCCCGCACAAAAGTCCAGCGCTCTATCCATTGAGCTAACTGGGAGGTTAGCTCAATGGAACACTCATCGAAGTGTTCGGATAAGAATCGCCTCTTTTTTGTGCAACTTGTTCAGTTCGAAAATCAGAAAGTTATGAAGTTCGTTTCTTTCCACGATATTGCTCTTTTACTTAAACAAAGAGTCGCAAATATTACAGTAGTTCCCAAAAGTAATTTCAGACAATTATCATGCATCACGGTAATCAAAGAGACCCGGTCCTAGTTGTAAGTCGTGAAAGATAAAGAAAAATGTCAATCCTTCACTATAATAAACCGCGAGTTATGCTTTATCACACAACCCCCGCTGCGATTTTTTTCCGTCTCCTAAAATTAGGACAATTATAAAGGAGTGCTCGGGGTACGGATGCAACGCGGTTTTTGTTGGCACAAACACTTTACCTCAAAACAACTTGAGGAAATTAGCCTTGGATATGAGGGGAGTCAAGAAGTAACGAGAGATCGGTGAAGACTTGAGTAACTACATACACCTACAACCAAGATCACGGTCTATTAAAGTTAACTCAATGTTAAAGGTATAGGTTTCTCTTTACAGCTTGGGGGTACCTCATGATTCCCATGGATCAAGTAAAAATTGTCCCAACTACGTTAACATCATGTCAGAGACAGCGCAAAGTGGGCCTGGTTCTTGGGAGTGGTCATCGTGCAGCAAGGAAAAACTTCAGAGCTTTCTCAGGTAAGAGACTTTTCGAAAGTTTTGAAAATGGCATTTTATCTCCTCGTAACTTGCATTCAGGCTTTATCAAACGTGCATCCGAATCCCATGTAAGTGAGATGAAATTTTGACATATAACTCCGCTATTGGTTGTCGCAGTCAAAGTTAAATAACCTTATCTGCAAGCGTATAATGAGTAGTATCATAGTCAGAGATTGCAGCTCCCCAGAATTCAACAGACAGTGAAGAAACCTCCAATGCAAACATCAAATTTTAGAGAACATTGAATCTGCGTGGGAATTCCTATAACAGAGTCCATCACTTATAACGTGTTCTGGAAAGTGGATTTCAGCAATTCATGAATATAAGGGTACTTCTGATCTGGTTCGATAAAAAGGTTTCCGCTCTCTTCATTTTGTTGTTGTTGTTTCATCTTTAAAGGAGCAGCAGATCCACATGTTTAAATGACCCTCCTTCTTCGACTCGTCCTAAGCCTCCCCCTTACTTCTACACCGACCTACCAGGAGATTTCCTTGACGCAGATGTGCAATGTAAACTTCAGCATGGCCCGGAATACAGGCAATGTCCGCAAAGAAGGGTAAGAAAAGAGACTGATTTAGCCAAGTTTTTTTTACGGAGAGAAACTCTTTCGCTTTAGATAAAATACAGGGAGGAAACCTGATGATCTTGAACGACAGTAAGCAATTTTGAGCTGATTTAAAAAGAGGAGGTGGCCCGCAAAGAATGATTGGTATATCGAAATAATATAAGGTGATTTTATTTCCATAATTTTATTTCCACAATATTATTTCCACAATGTTTTATTCAACGAGAGAAGGTCAAATATTTGTATAATTCTGCACTGAGTAAAGTTTCGGCCATGAATTACGGAGCTTGTCTTGAATTGAAAATAAGAGCTGTACTTTTATATATTTAGTTTCTGACGTAAGGAAGCTGTTTCTACTTTGTGCAGAGTGTAGTCTGAACCTAAGGTACTCTCACTCTATAGAACAGATGCGTTTGAAACTAATTTACCAAAAAAAAATGCCCTCAATATTTTTTCAGGACGTCTGCAGTTCCCTCTGGTGTACACCAAACGGACGCGAGTGCTATTCAAGATTTTTAAGAGTTGCGGATGGAACGCCATGCGGGCTTCGGCATGTAAGTTTATCATCGTCATCCGATTCGTACTCTCCTTGAGGCAGAATTCTCGCTCACGACCTAAATCTTTCTAGAGTTCACATTCTTGGCTGGATTGGTTTAGGAGACAAAATAGATGTCAAATCCGTTGAAAGAGTTGTTGACATGCCGGCTATTTCGCTAGGCTTCCTTGCCTTTGTTAGTGACGACCATTCCTTCAGGGCATTTATTTGTTGGTTATCTCTGCTACAGTAAGTTTATGATTATCTAACAATTATTTCATGAGTGCGCGTCGGATACGAGATGGTAAGTGGCCAAAGAGGCGCGTAGCGATGGGTTGACTATAACCAATCTCGTATCAAGTAAACGCGAATGAAATAATTTTTTTATCAGAATTAAATTAGCCACAATGTACAGGAGAAAAGTGTCTGTTCCAAGCCAAAGGTAAATCCAGCCTAGCAACACATGGGTAAATTATTTTTCATTAACGAATGTAATTCGGTACTGATGAACTGATGACCGGAGCTGGGTGAACCAAACAGATCACTAGAAGTGTATTATCGGCAGTTTGAAATTTAATAATTTTGACCATAAAAGATCTAGAAGGACCTTGGATAAGACAGATACTGTACCTCTTGATGGCATTCACTAATAATTTGTAAGGTTTGGATGATTTAGCCACCCGAAAGAATATCTATCTCAAAAGAATAAGGAAAGATAAACATCTTAATGGTTTACAACACTGCTACATCGAATGATGAATTGTTTTGATATCAAATAAATGCCTGATCATTTCTGAATATCTTTGGTTCTCTCTGACAATATCTCTACTGAGTCTTGGCAATTTTACATCGACCTAGAGAACCACTATTCTAAATTTTTAACTATTTACTCATTGAAAACAACAAAAGGAATAGATGGCGTTAAACTCCTTAAATAAAATTACCCGCATTTTATACCCAATGAGTTCCATCAGAGAGAACAATATGGCTCGAAACTTAAGATGCCGGCATGATTTTGACCAGCCAGAAATATGATCCATGAAGCCTTATCTCCAACATTCAACATTAATACTCAAGTAATATTTATACAGTCTTAATTCCACTGATTCTCTCGACTGATGTTCCTTACTTGTATTATGATTTCAAGTGGTGCATTAAAGGTTCTTGCGTCGATAACGGTTCACCAATTATCGATGGAGGATGGAGTGAGTGGTCTAACTACACAGCGTGCTCTCAAACATGCAGAGGAGGAATCCGCCACCGAGAAAGAACATGCACCAACCCACCGTAAGCAAACACCCAACTATGAATGTATTCCCGATTTGAAAGACAAAATCGGCGAAAATCGATCGAGTCCTCTTTTGTTTCAAGGCAGCAGGGCTCGACACTTACAGTAGCCAACTAGCCACAGACTAGTAGAAATTCAGTTTTGGCCAGTGGTTTTCGATTTCCACCAGCCAGTTTGGCTAGTCAATCGACAGAAATTGTTGCAAAATCTAAGTTGTCCCTCGCCACTTGGCTAGTAAGTTGAAAAGTTAGAGTCGAGCCCAGAGGCAGTGTATTTTTTATTTCTCATTCACAGAGTACAATGACTCGAGTAAGCGTTTTCATGTTTCCTTTTGCCAATTATTCTCATTTCCCAGGAAAAATCCTGGCTCCTACGATTGGCAGGAATGAACTGGCGTGGCCCACGTCACTTATGTCATCGTAAATATATATGAGGCTAATGGTACAACTCAATGATACATTGATCAATGATAGAGTAGAAACAACAGAAGAAAAGTCAGTTTTTCCGAGACACTTTCGTGAAGAAAAAAGGCCTTTTATTCTATTTTCCACTTGAGTAATAGCGTTCCCCTCACAACTAATAAGCACTCAAGGAATTGTGATTATTGTTGTTTTCCATTTCGTTTTCAATTTGATTTTTTATCGATTTCTCAACAGGCCTAAAAATGGAGGTGCAGACTGCGAAGGTCCTACAAGATCATGGGAAACATGCAATAACAATGTATGAGCATTCATGGTTAAAATTTCTTCTTAGGCCAGCCCCTGGATGATCATGAAATTTAATTTCTGCTTACCGGTAGCTGATAAAGAAACACATAGAATCCTTATGTTACATTTACATTGAGTTTTTTCTTTTTTCTCTTTTTTGTGATTTACCCCATATGTCAAGAACTGACAGGCTTGGGACTTCTTCCTACTTTATTTTCAGGTCCTCTGCATTATTTCTGATGATCAACCATCTTTTCGTGATCAGCAGTGTAAAAATATAAACTCTATCTACAGTGCCTACTATCCTGCTAGTGAGTGCATTAGCTGTTTAAATTCAATTTTAAGAAATGCATGGACGTACGATAATTAATTATAACGAAAACTTCTTCGGAAGACAATTCGGATACGAAATCTTTTGAGAACTAAATCAGTCAGCCACAAGATTTAATATTAAAAGGCTGCAAATAAACACCATAACAAAGTTTTTTTTTAGTATAAGTAACACTGAGATGCAAAGATGTTTATCTAATTACGCGACACATTCCACCTTTGACGAGGTAGGCAGTGTTTTTCACAACTAAGTCCAGTCCAAGAATGCGTCTTTTTGAATGATTGAATGACTTCTTGGCACACAACATTGATCTTTACCTCAACTTGTAGGTGAAGTTACAAGTAAATCAACGCAAGCAAAATACTTTCAAGATATTTAAACACACAGTGAAAAAAATATATTGAGCGGCTAGTAGATCTATCCACTCTTTTTCTTGTACCACAAGGCCGGGAATTGCTACTAAGCTTGTAAGTCTGGTGTAGCTGGCTGACGAGTATTTTGTTTTTAGAGAGCCCAACTCCTCAGAGCCGTTGGCCTTTTCGGTTACATGAACACACGTTTAGAGCAGCGTTTGATATTATTCCCAAAGTACCAATGCCGATTTTTCTCTTTCAGATCAAAACCCTTGTCGGCTTGCCTGTCGACTGGGGAGACCCAGTTATGGTTTCTTCGGAGACGTGCTAGACGGCACTCACTGCAGTGAAAATCCTTACGTATATGACGTATGCATAGAAGGAAAATGCAAGGTATTACTTAAGAAAGAGGAATACCTTTTTTATTTTCATTTATTTCTACTTTTAAACTCACTTTCTTATTTAACTTAATTGAAGGTGCATTCGTTTTAATTCTAGACCGTTGGTTGTGATGGGATACTCAATTCTGGAAAAGTAAAGGATAGATGTGGCGTTTGCGATGGAAACGGGGACTCATGCACACTTGTCACCTCTAGCTACACAAAGGACTATAGGAAATGTGAGTTTCTCTACCCCAGTGTATCATGATTTGTCCCGATCTGAAGGTTAGGGAAACGTTAGAATTGTCGATACAAGTCTCTCGAAAGAAGTAAATGACTACTAAGGTATCGATCTTTTGGCAGCGGTGATAAGAAACTGGAAATTGATGAAATTCCTGCCAAAGTGACTAATTTGGCTTAGAGAGAAGGTAATCTGTGATTGAATGGATGGAAATGTGTGGCTGGAAAGGGCCGTAAAATTCTGCACAGTTATGATGAAAGGCCCAGAATTGGAAATGAAACACATTGCGTCATTTCATTACGCTTTTTTCATTCTTTCCTCAACCATTTACGCGTAATACAGCTATGAAGAAAGGTCTTTCTATTCGCTTAAGCGTACAACTGTCAGCTAAATATCAATAGCAATAAATGGAAAAATTAGATCATGCACTGACCGATTTGAATTTTCTTTTCAGATTGGTCTCCCCCAGACACCATCGTTGTTCTACCCCCAAAAACTTCCCGTGCGATATTCCAGCAGAGAAACGTAAAACAATATAACGTTATTGGTAAGAATTTTTTTCGGAAACCTTCATCTACCATTGGAAAGATTGGGAAGTAGAATTCACCCTATTTTAATTAAAATGGTCCATAGCATGATTAACAAAGAATGGAAGAGATGGAAACTCTAGAAAAAAACAACAGTCACTATATGATTAAAGCACAACTACCTTTTAAAGGTTTTTTGAAATTGATTACCCTATCGGCATTTGTTATAAAGATATGCACACTACTTCAAAAGAGGTTCCTCAATCCCTCGGTCCCTTCCTGTATTTAGTTAGCATGATAACAAAGTAATTTGCATTTGAAAAGCAGCAACATCTCTATCATAACAAGGTCACCCTAAGCCTCACTCCTGTTCAAAGGCTAGGCCACCAAGCCCACAACTGTAAAAAGGACGATTAGGGAATGACTTGAGATATAGGATAGCAGGGATTACGACGCATGCGTATAACTCTTTACTGATGTTTCACTTTCTTCCCTGTGGATGATTCTTTGACTTACAAGTCAATATTCAATCCATTCGTAATCTGTTCTTTTCTTGCTGTGAGCCGAACCTGAACTGCTGGCATGGGTTAAATAATTTCAGTTCACAGCGTGATAAGGGCGGCAGATATCTTCTAGTGGATCTCTGGCCATATATGGTGTTCATATAAACGCAGCTTCATCGAAGTTGAATTGATTTATTTTTCCTTTATTCAGGCGTTCAGGATGAAAAAGGATACGTAATTCCATTGGTAACTTGGGGAGAAAAGACCATCTATTATGCTGGAACAAGAATTTACTACATGAATGACTACAAATCTCCGGACCGGTTGGAAATCGATGGACCAACCAACTTAACTCTCAAAATAGTGGTAATTACACGAGGAGCTCTGAATGAAACCTGTGCATAAACGAATGAGGCATGCATCCAAACCGCATTAGTCTAATGTGACTGTAAAAAGAATGTTTGATCCTCCAATAGTAGTTTTCATCTTTAACTTGAAAATGCTCGAATCACAACAGATAAGTTGTTGATGTATGCGGAAGATCGGGGAGCGAGGAAAGTTGGTGTAAATTCGTTAGGTAACCTAGCAATGATTTTATTTCGATTAAAGATTTTCTGAGGCACTTCCAAGATAATTTCCGGACTGCTTTACCTTACGCATTTCGCTGTTATGTTCAAACGATCGTTCTGTTGGCAGCAAATTAAAAAGCTGTGTTTCCTCGAGTTGTTTTTACGGGTCTGAAACTTCGACAGTTAGGTTTCTCGTTTCCACAAGGGACTATGGTTGCCTAGGATTCCATGGACTAACTCAGTTTCATTGTTCTCCTTTTCCGCAGTATGTTCACCTACAGAATCCAAATGTGGCAGTTGACTACGAGTATTACAGACCACTAGAGTTGAATGAGACTCCTGTGCCACCAACTTGTCAGTGGGTAACAACAAACTGGACTGACTGTTCTACAGGTTTCTGAATTTACGAATTCTGTTAAATAAAGAAATACTCATAATTCACAGCCTAAATGGTCAGCTGGAGGGATTGCAAAAAGGACGTAGAGATAATATCAGTGGATATAAACGTATGAACGCAACGCCAGTGCAGGTTCCTTGTTAACAGAGCCACAAAGCCATGGCAGGCTTGCAAACACAATTCAGTATTTTTTCAACAAAAGCTCAGCCGATCGATCGGTCAACGGGTCGGTTAATTATCAGAGGGTAGCCAACTGATTGTCGCTCAACTGTTAGTCGACTCTCGGCCAAATGTCGGTGGATTGTTGTCATTGTACTTATCAGGGATAAGATTTAGGATTTTGCGCCTCCCAACCTCCTAAAAATTGCCTGAACCCCGCCTTCACCTTCGACAATATTGCATAGGTATTTGTGTAGTCACACTGATAAAGGACCAGTTGGTGGATAATAAACCAGACAGATTTTGAACATCTACAAATTGCATTTTGAAAAGCATTTTTTTTCTGTATCAAGAATTTCCTTAATCTTGTTTAAAATTAAAATCAGTTATGTGTATATCCAAATTACCATTTTAAATTTTTTCTCCTCCACAGGTCAGCAGACCCGCGATGTCTATTGTGTAAGGGATGATGATTTTTCTCCTGCTGGCGCTAGTTGCTGTGGTGAGGATTCAAAACCTGACGAGATAAAGCTCTGTTTTGAGTAAGTCACAGAAGTTGAGAATACCGCTCAAGAGGAATGAACGTGTTTTATCAGATTTTCAAAAATAATGTCTTTTCCTTGATGTTTTTTTGTCGATTTTAGAGCGTTTTTGCTTATTTGTTTGTTTCCAAGTGTGATAATGTCATTTTATTGTTATTAAACAGAATGGGAAAGTTGGTAAATTTTGACGTAGTTTGTGAAATGGTCAAATGTTTTATCAACTTTCTCATTCTATATATTCACTTGCATGATGCTTTCGACGTTGCTGTTTCTAACAGTATGCAGAACGTATTTCACATAGTACAGTATCAAATTCTTAGCTCACCATTCGAGTTCTACGAGTGGTGGAGCATCGCAGCGCAAATTCGATCCTATGAATTTGCGCTCTGATGTTGTCTTACACCCGTGACAAACCGAATATCTTTATTCAAAATTACCTTTTCTTTGCTTTTTTCTATGAACGTCTCAGATGGCACTTTTCCAACTGGCAGGCTTGTACGAAAACATGTGGAAGAGGTAGCCAATCACGATCAGTTGTGTGTCGCGCAAGGGTTACTGACACGGACTACCAAATCCAGTCCGACGAAGTTTGTAACGCTGTGCCAAAACCAGTCGAAACACGTTTCTGCAATGAGATTAACTGTCCCGCGTACCGAACAACTCATTGGACTAAGGTATAATATGATTTTCCTTTTTAACTAACGGCACAGTGGGGCTTATTTGTTGTCTAAAAGTGTGTTCTATTGCTCTTTATTTTCCATTGTGTCGTTTCGCAAAAATTTGCTTTTATGAGAATCCTCGAACTGTTTCCAAATATGATACTACCTTTTCTCTGTAACAGTAAATTTGCGCTAAATATGCTGCCACAGTGAATATTTTATCCTCGTTCCCACATTTGTCAATATAAAATTGAGATAAAAATGTCGTAGGCTATCTGGCAAGTCTAATTTGGTTATATCAACTAAGTTGAAATTGTAAATTGGCCACCGTAACGAATAAAAAACCGACGTTTCGAGCGTTAGCTCTTCGTCAGAGCTAATGTTTAATTGCGCTAAGTGTATAGTATAACACTAAACACTTCAGAACTGTGAAGCTAATATCCTAAAACTGGAGAGGTAATATGTGCACTCTCGGATTTCAAGCATCCCTTTTTTTCCTTTTTTTCATCCGTAAGGAGACTTTTCAGACCTTTTCTTCCTAATTTTTCGATAAAATAGTTCCTTCTATCACACTGCTACTTCTATTTTAGATAAGTTAGATTTATTTCAACTGTTGTTCATCCCATTTCATAGTGTTCTACGGTCTGCCTTCCTGGGGAACGAACAAACTACACAAAATGTTCACGCATCAATGCTCTGGGAGAAAGCGAAGAAGTGTCAGACATTCAATGTGCCCATAAAGGCACTGCTCCTCCATCTGTCAATGAAACATGCAATGATGACAATCCTTGTTTAAGTAAGTTAGCTCTGCAACTCTAGAGAACTGTTCTGAAATCGAATATTTTGTAGGTTTGTAGTTTTTCAGAAAATGGAGCAATCTCACTGTGTTTATCGGCTTTTTGCATTCCAGCACTTATTAATTATTGGTCATAGACTTCGACAACTCTCCTATCTTAAATGCTCGTTTTGTTCTTTAAGCTTCAGTGAAGAAGAGCACAATAATACTAATTAGAACACTTGCAACAATTCTAAATATCATTGATGCAAAAAGCTTTGGGTGTAAAATGTTGACGTGAAATGTGAATCAGAATATCTCAAAAATATGGAATTTAGTTCAAAAGAAATAAAGCTTATTTTTCCACCAGTTAAAAGAATTATGAGAGAATGAATTGAACTGTGCAAATGTATCACTCGGTCAAATGCGTTATACCAAGGCTAATAAGCTAGAATGGACTTGGTGAAAGTAGGGTATACGTTCGAGCTAGGAGATCATAGTCCTGTTTAAAAGAGACCGCAGGCTTTATAATCTACCGCCAGTTTTACGGTTATTTGATCAGCTGACGACTCAAAACTCTCATCCAAAACTTTCAAGTCGCATTTCTCATATTTCAAGAGTTAACAAGCCTACAAGAGCATCCTAGACCTTAACATTCGAAGAAAATGCAATATCTAGAGAATACCTTCATTTCATCCAGTCTTAAAACTTTAAATAAGGCACTGACTGTTGATTTTTTTTCTTCTTTAATACCCTTAGAACATAAGATCGGCTGTTTTAAGCCCCCTCCTGAAGCTAACTTATTCTCAAAGACTCTTGGTGACTTCAGAGCAGAGGCTAAAACAGATCCGAACCAGGCCCTAATGCAGTGCGGCGAATTAGCGCACAGAGATGGTTACCATGTGTTCGCCCTTGGCTTGGATGGTTTGTGCATGTCAGATGCGGACGCAAGAAATAAATATTACAAGAACAAATCGCCTGGAAGTAAACGGGATGCAAAGAAGTGTTCAGGGGAAATTGGCAAAGGGAAATTCAGTGTTGTTTACTCCTTTGGTAATGACGTCATTTCCATTATTTACAGATTCACAAACTGAACCTCTTGTAGGTGCAAGGGCTCGGAATATCCCATTCTATGCTGCATTAAGGATATCGATATCAGGGCCCCTACGAGTGTGGTTAATTACTTGTTACCTGTTTTCATTCAGGTTTCGTAACGCCACCTAACTGTTAGGAAAGTACACCGAAACTGCTAAAAATCGGATTACGGAAATACTATATCCCTGGTAAAAGGTTCTACTTGCAATCTTTTTGTATTGATCAAGAAATTGCCACATTTGAGCTTGATTATTTCTATCCCCTGCATCACCGACAAAGCAACTTAAAATAGACGCAGAATGAGACATAAGGGTTTGTTGCAAAACAGCTAAAAGACCACCCAAACAGACAGAAATATCCTTCTCTTTTTCTGTTGAGGTCAAACCATAGAAATCTGCATTACTAGCCACATTCTCGATTGATTGCTAACACAAGTCCATCATTGTGCACGTTACAGATCCGCTACCAGAATACGAACCAATTGGATGCTTTAAAGACAAGAAGAGTGACCGCGCAATGAAAGATAATTACGCAAGCTTCCGATTCTTCATCAATTGGCACAACCTAAACTCCACAATCCGCCAGTGTGCACTCGTTGCACGGGATATAGGCTACGAGTACTTCGGAGTTCAATTCTACGGGGAATGCTGGTCCTCTTCAAACGCTGCAGAGACCTATAGCAAGTATAACCTTCAAACAGATATGAAGAAATGCTACATGGGTGTGGGGGCTGCCTTTACAAACTATGTTTATCGATTTAAAAAAGTAAGTTTTGCCCAGCATTTTTCCAATATAATGATCACTATCTATAATTCTAAATCCTGGAGAAAATGTGTCAATATGTCGTTTTCCAGTTAATATTTTGGGCTGAGTAAAAGTCAGGCTTCGTAGGAACTTTGTACGGACTTTTTATCGGTCAAACGCCCGTGATTATATCTCACATGCGTTGTGAGAAATTAACCTCCTAATAAACCAGTCATGGCGAGAGTGCTTCGCTTGAACACCAAATAGGATTAGGGAAATTTACGAGGGCTTTATCTGATTATCCTCTTTCCTTGCAGATGAACGAGGCAAACTCTGAACCAGACAATGACTCGTCTTCAAACACTGGGAACAACAACAACTCTATCATCATAGCCAAATAGTAATTTCGAATTTGTTACCATCATGGTACACATGTTAAGTATATTTTACGAAACAAATCTGGGATCAGCCGCCCCAATGAGTTTTGCAGAGAAAACGAGGCTTAAGATGTCAAGACATATTGAACACTAATATAAAAAGGTCTTGTTGGGGTCATTAAAGATATCAAATACTAAAAAAAAAAAAGAAAAAAACTTGCCTTCAGAAGCTCTTTAATCATACTTTAGTCGCGGCCATGCCGGATTTAGACATTATTTAAGGACCGCAATGCGACACTGTTCTGCAACATTCTACGCGCTTGTTAGAGTAGAAACAACCGTATTTAGCTGTATAGTACCAGGAAAGGACACCACAAGGTAGATAACTCCAATTCGAATTGCTGGATTTCAATCTAATATCCTATCCAATCACCATTCGATCGATTGCCTTAGCTTGTTCTTCTCCGGTCGTTTGCAAAATTATCTTACAGTCAAACCTGTTTTTAATTAGTTCTTTACTCCATCCATTTTAAAAATTACTGGTGATCCTTGCAATCTGATTGGCTCTCATTGATGCGATTTACAAACGAATCACACCATTTTTTTCTCTAAAACGCATCTTTTTCCAGCTAATGAGAAACATTTGCTATAAAACTTTAACCAATCAGATTTCTAGGCTTGTTTAAAAAAACCAATAATGTGAGAGGAAAAGGGAAGACACCTGTTACAACTTCAGAACCAACCAGCTCAGTACTGAATCAATAAACTATTTCTACACACTCAAAATCCTGATTTAAGTGACTGAACTTTGGGATTTAAAAATGGATGTAATTGAACTTCATATTGTGCAATTTTGGTCTGAAATAATTGTGAGTCCAAACCAAACTCGTTCTGCGCGCTCGTTCGATTTTGAAATCACTCGTATGGTTTTCAGACGAAATTGCAATCTACTCAGTTCAGTTGGCGTTATATATATATCTGGTGCATCTATGTTAATTGGGGAAGGTATAAAGTATAAAATATTCTAGTTCATGGATATTAAATTGTGAAAATTTGCAACTGGAGAAAGGCAAATCAGTAATGTATTCATTTGGAGCAGCGAAGGAGTTACATTCGAGAATACCGCGAAACATCGAAATTAATCAGTTCTTTCGAGCTAACAAGCGAGTCCTAAAATGCAACCAAGGAAATTGAAAAGGCGCTGTTCGGTCTTTTTCTTTTTTTTTTTTTTTTTCTTTCTTTTGTTTTGTTTATATCCCCAAAATTTCGTCATCAAGCCAATATACTGAAAGTAGCTCATTGAGTGGAAAAGTGGCGGATTTGATACTAGAAAATCCTCACTGCTAATCGGTAAATCCAGCGCTGTAAACTAGAACGTCATACCGCCTCCAGAATGGGCTTTATTCCAAAATGTACAGCACTTCTTTTTCTTTCATTTGACATAAAGTCATTAGACAACATTGCGAGCCGGCCATGTTTTACCAGAATGATTAAAGGGAACTTGGTCGATCATTAAACTCGGGTATTTTAATCAGTTTTTATGAGTTCCAAGCCGTTTATTTGCATGTTGTTCCAAATCCAAGATGGCGGATAATTGAAATAATTCCTAGAATTGATCAAAATTGATGTGTTTCTGTGTGCATGCCAAACCGTGGCTCCGTCCCTTTACGTACAGTAACTGTCAACATCTTACTATGCGTGTTATGTTTTTGAGAAACGAACATTCGTTAGAATCATTAATTTGCAATTAAGTGTCTTTGACACGCTGTTTGCTACTTAATCACGGCTATTCTTCGTGTATCTTAAGACTTTCACACTTTTTACAAATCTTTAAAAAAAAAAAAGAGAGAGAGAGAAACCGTACGCCCATCCTAACTTTGTTTACTCTCTGTGTATGAAGTCTGTTTTCGACGATTTTAATCACCAGAGAGAACCAGAGATTTAGGAATTCTATTTTTTCATTGTACTTTAAATTTCTTAATTATGACTATCTTTTTATGTTATTTTTTATCTTTTTTTCGCATCTTAAAAAGCATGATAATTTCTACAAAACATTTACTTGCATGTCCAGTACTTAGCTGTCTTTCAAACAATGAGACTCTGATACTATTTATTTGTCTATTAATCTACAATAGAAAAGAAATAGGAACAGAAATATATCTACACACATAAACATAACAGAAAAATTTTCATCGAAGATAAATCTTAAAGAGTCGTGTTTCGAGTGTGGGACAGAAAAAACGGCTGAGTGCCGATCGATGAGAAATCGAACCTCAGACCTTTCGGATTTCGCGCTCCGACGCTCTACCGAACCAATCCGAAGGTCTGGGATTCCCTTCCTTGCGCGAAATCAGATTTTTTTTTTATACCCCAGACGAGATAGATAAACATCCTTGTATATTCCACCACCTTGCCGAAAGTTAAAGTGTAAATCGTTTCTGTTTCATGCAAAACACTTACATCAATTCTTGCTTTCTCACCTAGTTAAGCTGGTATCATCAAATATGAAGTGTTTTTTTTTTTTTGTAATAAAAGGAAGAAACACGAGGATTTAGCAGGAAAGCTGATGTAGTGTGTCTACAATAGATCTTAAATACTCATTAACACCTCTATTGAAACATATTACAAGTATAATCCACAACATTCAGAAATAATAAAAAAGATTAAAAAAAAGAACAACGGTCCAGCATTTTACCAAGATTTATCTTTTCCGTTCTTAAATGGGACACGATTAGTTTATCTTACTTTTATGACGTTAATCCAAGCGTGAGTGCTTTGCTCTTTGGTCAAGTGTTTTTAAGGCGTTATCAAAATGTTACCAAACATCCGTCGTCCATCAATGCATTTAATACTAGTGACACCACTGGTGACTGGATTTCAAAACTCTCTGACACGAAAAACAATTATTTTAGCGCTAAGAGCCCTGGACAGAAACTTTAGACGCACTTTATAAACGCCGTCAATTCTTCTGAGAAGTCCATTTGGTTCCAACGTAAATTAAACACGGTTATTCAAGGTTCAGAAACAGATTGTGAAGGTAAGTGCTGAACGGTCTTAATATATACACGTCGCTTTAACTACGATTTCAAAGTCTTAACGTCTTGATTTTTGAAACAAGCCCCGATTAGTAAAATTGTTTCTAAGCCACGTGCTATTAATGTCAAGAACATGTAAATCAGCAAAAGTCCCCTTTAAAGGTAAGGAATGAAAGATATGAAAGAGAGATGTATAAATAAGATGAAACAAAAAAAAGTTAGAATTGTGTCATTATAGAAATTGGTATCTTTTTTCCACTATGAAATTTAATATTTGCAAGAAAATTCAAAACTGTGATGCACAAAATTGATGGAAACAAAAATTTAGAATCTTATATCTTTTTTTATTCTATAAAAGGAGCTTCACTATTGTTCTTTTTGTGTTTCGTGAGTAACACATTGGTAGGTCATTTACATGCACTACTTGGAGCTTGAGTGCTATGAGTTTTGATAATATCCCGCGAACTTGTCAAATGAAGAATTTCTTTACCTTTTGGAGAGGTAATATTTGAAATTAAGAGGCTTATAGAGATAAACATGACAAAGTAAAACTTGCGCATATCTGAAACCACAGCTGTTGTACTGTGTACACAAAGAGAGAAAAACGGAAAGTTTAGCTGAAGCTGATACACAGTGAAAAGATAATTTTACTCGGGCTAGTAAAATAGAATTTTCATCAAAGAAGATGTTAGCCACGCATTTAAAAGTATTAGCAAAATAGGGAGAGCTTTCTAAAAAATAAAGAGTTCTCGTTGCGAAAGAGTCCAAAGTTAACTTTTTCGACAAAGGCAAATATTTTTTCAATTCTTTTTTGTTCAAACAACGATGGGGTTAATTAATGTTTCATCCAATCATATCTTACGGATGGCTTGTAAATACAAACTGACGAGTAAAGAAAGGATCGACAAAACTCAAGTTCGTTGGGTGGTCATTTCCGCCGAAAAAGGTGACAACGTAATAAATTTCAGTCTTTTTACTGCGACAAAATATTGATAGAACTGAACTTGCTGAATGCTCATGTAACTAGGGGTAGTAGTCTCTTATGAAATCATCGGTTTAAAGTTTGTCGACCTTCGAAAGGATTTTTTTTGTCTTCCTACGTAGCAGAGCTACGGTGAGTAAATACCGTCAATTACGTCAAGGCGAAAAATAACCAATCATATTCCGCGAGCCACACTTATAACAATCGACTGATAAACTCCTAACTTGACTCTGATGAGGACATCCTCTCAGGATGTCGAAGCGTCGGTTACTTCTGCCGACAATATTCTCTTTCAGGGCTACTCTCATCCAGACGATCAGAAAACACCATCAACTCTTTACTCCATGGTTCAAACCGCTTACCGCAATTCCAAATTTGATTCTTGTAGTAACCCTTCTGGAGCTATTCCACTCGCTCAAAGCAGCAGATGCTCCAGTATTTTCATAACCTGACGGTTTTCTCGTCGTAGTTAATCGAGTTCTCTTACCAATAAAATAAACAATCAATTGACAGTAATAGAGAATGAAAGTGGCACTCTTTATTAAAGATAATAAAAAGTATCACTTACTTAACCGTTTTCCCTATAAACTAGTTTCTTTCAAAAATTTCGATTTTTCGCGCGTTTTATTCAGTATAGAAGACTACATAGATGACCATTAGATACCCTTCTTTTACAAGCTAAATGCTAAAGTAGTTCTTCCTTTTGTTGCATATCATGATACCTGTAAACTACGTTTCATAACTTTGTAACACATGGGAAAATAATTTTCGTTTACAGCAATAAACTTTCCCAGACTCAATTAAAATCAAATCAAATATCGTCGGGTCACTGCTAGATTGCAAATGAAACCTTTAAGTGAGCAGTGATTAGAATCCAAGACGATTTGAACTAAGTTTTCAACAGGCAGTGAACAGTATTCAATTTGAAGAGCACTAAATAACCGCGAACTCTGAGTTCCCCTCAAGGTGATCACCGCCTCAATGACATTCAGATGCATGTACTGCGGGTGATCCCATCATGAATAATTGTAACACGAGTCAGTTGTAAGAGTTGGCTCCGCCTTTCATAAAAGTCTAAGTCAAGGTGAATATCATTTGACCATATAAACTCAAATCACGATTCATAAAGACGTAAAGAACGTGTGCGCAAAAGCCAGATTCTCGGATATGAATCACTACCTGATATTAATTGAACACAACGAATATATGAAATTCGTATATCTGAACTGCGGTTATAGAAACGTATTTGTGCACGATCATTTCAATTTCTTCTCTCTGCTCTCTCTGCTTCTTTTCCTTTCAAAGGATTCTTCTTCAGGCGCTTTCAGCTGTACTTTTCATTTTTCTGGGAAAATAACATCTAATAACATCTTGTACAGGTTAGTACAACCTTATCGGCCTTGTGATTTACCGACCACCCGCCTTGACGGGGTCTTTCTTTAACCGCTTTTAATTGTCCTTCGTAAGCCCGGATACATTCCCGGGTATCTTTATGATTAGCCCTTTGTCCGTCGAACTGTTTTGACAAGTAATTCTTATCTGTGGCATCTTTGGGACAGCATTCAACATTTTGGAGAGCAGAAAGGTAAATGAATAAAGCTGCGAAATACTTCGGTAATGGACATCCTACGTTCGGTTGTAAAATAATCTAGTTTAAAGTGTTCACTTCAGCGAAAGAAAAGCATTCAAAGGTGAAGAGGAAGTTAATTTTTTAATTTAAATGTTATTAATTTGAATTACTTAAATAGCTGTGTCTTTTTTTCTTTCAGCCTTTATTATATGATTGCAAATGGCTTGGAATTTAGGAATAGAATTGTGCTGGTGTATACTCGTCAGTTGTATTGCTACGGGTACGTTAGAATCCTATGTCATAAATAGTATTTTTAAAATAGCAGATTTATTCCGTTTTTAATCAGTATGAAAAAACGCTGGTTAACTAAGGATATTATTATGGCACTAGATTAATAATCATGCAGCTCCATTTGGCGTGATGATTGTAAATTAAACCAAGGTGTGAGTTTAACGCTCAACTGTTTAAGCCGTACAAACCTCAGGATAAATCTGATTTTTAACTGGCCTTTGGATCGTTTACGTGGGCATCCCGCCGCTATCGATATATCAACCACCATTTCACTGTCTTTAAGAATAGCTTAAAAACCTAAATCCTACGTCCCATAGATAAATCGTGTTTGAAAACTGCATCGTTATAATCTGTTAAAATCGTAACTTAATAACTTAATCATAGGAAACCAACGATGAATTAAAATTTCCCGCAAAGGCTAAAAGTAATTAGGACAGGGTCCTCGTCACAGTTCTTTTTTGATCCCAGAAACAGTGGTTAACGAAATATAGCTTTTATTTCGTCTGCAGATGCGTTCAGCCTAAATCAACAGAATATAAACGAGGTAGGTTAAAGTTTTTCCCGAGTAAAATAGTTTCTTTCCAAAGAAACGTTGCAAACACAGACGCAGTTCAGTTTCAAAAATTCTTTGTTTCTGCATAAACAAACGTTAGAGATATATCGATCTAAAGTCTTTTCATAGCAACCGATTTGAAAACATTTGTATTCTTAAATCGACCCTCTCTTCATTTATATAAGAACAGAAGAGCTTTGATTACTATCGACCTTGATTTGGGAGCACCACTAGTACAAGCTTAAAAAGCCTTTTTTTGTTCACACATATCTGATAAGTTGAAAATGTTTCCAAGTTAACCACTTATCTCGTAAGTGGTAGGTATCTATCCTGGCTCTACGTAATCGATGCCTACATAATTTCAAAAGGAGTTCGATCGCGTTAGTAAAGGAGCGAAAGCAAGAAATTTATATCAGGGGGTGGTTGTTAAAATGTTGAGCGCAATTTACACACATTTGACGTTTCGAGCGTCACCCCTTCGAAGAATTTACCTCTTGCTCTGACGAAGGCTAGCGCTCGAAACATTTATTTAAGATAATCTTGACAGTAGCCAATTTAAATTTACTCATTACACCCATTTGATATCACAGAATAATCTTTCACCAATGCAGCACCGCTGTTTCTTTAAAAACTTACTCTCTTTTGCACAAATTTGCACTCCCACTGATTTTCTTCTCTTACAGCTCAAATGGAGGAATTAGTGTGGGAACGTCAGACTGACTGACCTGTACAAATAAACCTTTACCTATTTCTTGATATCTCAAATTTCTTTGATAGCTGTAAAAGATAACTGCAGTTTTTCTTTAAATTGCAGCCCTTGAAAATACATCATTATATGACAAGGAGGGAAATGCGAACATATTTTGGAGTTGACGCACATGAAAAAGGTATTGTTACAGTTATGGGATCATATGAAATGACATCATTCCCTATTTGGAACGCAGCAGTGGTTAAATTGTGCAGTAATGTCTTTCACTGAGCCAAACTGCGTTAAACTAATTGAGACAAACCTTAGAGATCGTGACTTTCTTGAAAAAATTATTATAAAACCTTTGGTCAGATTCCTTTAAGGGAGAGATGAATCCTCTAAAATTTGCGTCACCACCTGTAACTTGGAAGCTTCGTAGCTCAGTTGGTAATATCGCCCAACGGATTCAAATCCCGTTGGTGCCTGAATTTTTCCAGCTTCTTTTCTGCATCTGCTGAAACTGCAATCCATCTGCAAGGATCCTTTCTTAGCTTGATACCTAAGATTCATATCAGACTCAAGAAGCATGCATTTTTGTGTTATCTCTAATGGAGATGACCCGCTGAGTAGTTAAGACGAGTGGTTTGTGTCAAAATAAACGAGGAGTAAATGTTTTGTACCACATGAGAGGTGTTATCTAATCATAACAGCCTAGGGGGTATATTGCAAATGATGCAATATGATCGGGTAACACCTCTCTAGTGGTACAAAATACTTACTCCTCATTGGTTTGGACACAAACCACTCGTTCTAACTACCGCCCTGTGATTCGTATTCATTTAGTACTTATTTCCAAGTCATGATTCATCAATTAAACGCCAATCAATTTAAAAGTGAGAACTGAATCTTGTTGAGTGGAGTTGTCTAATCCTTTCACTTTTTCCATGATTGTACCAATAACTATGAAAAGAGAGGAAAACAGTGGTTGTTGGGCTGGAATTTTTCTGTAATTCTCGTTGCACTGTAAGATACTTGCCAGTAACGCTGAGTTCTTACCCGTTGTCAAGATAAACGTTTTTAGCACTCTTAGAATGCGCGACAATGACTCATATCATTGGATGTTAGAGAATGACAACAACTGTGTATTTAACCTCTTAATCTAAACATTCTTTAACGAAATGCAGTTCCCGAGTATGAAGTTACAAGTCCGTTCCAAGTGGATGAATCTGGTAACTTTCTCAGCAATAAGCTGCACGAGCATGCGCGTCGAAAGAGAGGCACCAATCATGACGAACCACACCTTTGGTACTATCAAGTGCAGGCATTCGGTATGTCACTTCATTTGAATCTCACTAAAAATAGCAATCTCTTGGTACCCGGCCTGGTGGTTGAAAAGATAAATAAAAATGGCAACAAAGAATACAGTGACTTTCCGCACACCGCCTTCTACGCTGGACATGTGACTTCAGATCCTAATTCAGTGGTTGCTATTAGCAACCATGATGGACTGGTGAGTAGCATTATAGGGCTGCGTTTTAAATTTGCTGTCGACGAAAATAAACGGTGAAGGATATTCAAGAACATATGTTTGGAATTCAAAAACATAGAAATTTGAAAATATTTTGCAATGAGAGTAAGTTCCGGAGGTAAGAGGCTTTGTGTTCATTTCAGGAGGATTTTTGTACAAGAATGAGTTTTTTTTTTTTACTGACTTTTCACTTTATCTGTACCTGAATTAAGTGGGTAAGTTTGTAAAGAAACTGTCATGCTTCATCCGTGGGCAAATGACGAAAGGCTAACGCTCGAAACGTCAGCTTTAAAAGCTCTTTTCCATGGCCAATCTACATAATTAACTTGGTTTGAATTAGTTTGGCAGTTTACTCACTGATATTTTCTTATTATATTTTTGCTCATCTCATTTATTGAAGGTTCATTCACATCTTAATTCAATTTTAGTCTCACCTTTGCCCTCTGATTTTACCGATGCTTAAGTAAAGGATTAGTCTTATATTTGTCTTTTGCCTTGTATTTGTTTCCAGAAAGGAATCATCAAACATTTTGGAAGTTCTTTCTTTATGCAACCGTTACCTTCCCATCTCGCACGGTACCATGGGGTTTCTAGCGGATCTCAGCCGCATCTCATTTTCCGGCGATCTTTGGACAATGAAAAGAGCAGATGTGAAGTTATGGGTATGTGTAGCTGTTAGCCCGGAGCGGAGGGAAGGGGGGGTGCACTTGGGTATTACTTGATAGGCTCCATGCTAGTCACTATTGGTAATACAACTTTTTTCCCGCGAATGTTCTCATTTTAAATTCCTTCTCATCAGAATTTTCTTACCCCCAAAATTCCGAAAATAAGTGACTTCATTACAGTAACTCTATTGAAAACGCAACCCCATTATAGTCAATTCAGTCGTGATAATGTAACCCCAACCAGCGGCACAGTACATCTCCATTAACTTATTACAAGGAAGAACCCTTGATAGAGAATTGACTCACATATACGAGGGATTGATTGTAGCAAAAGGCTAAGGTGGAGTCTTCGGAAGAATCGTCGAACGATCATGATATAATAGAATTTATCAACCCTTCCGATCCCTTACGTATTGTTTTTGACACTTCACAGGGTCGTAGCCAGGATTTTTTAAAGGTGGGGTCACAGAGGCTACTCACTAGATTGTCATGTGGACCTCCACGCCGTGCATGTTTTACTTAATGTTACAGTTTTGGGATGAGCAGTGAGAGTATAGTGGGCAGGCCAGGATATTGTCATGACGTTTTCACCACCTGAATATTGTAGGTTGTTTGCTCAAAAGAAGTCCTACCAAGGGGGGGGTCACAGGCACCCCAGGACCCCCTCTGGCTACGCCCTTGCTTCATCACTAACAAATCATCACTTGCCATAAAACAGAAAGGAAAAACGTTAGAATTGTCGTAGTTGATTTTAATCTTACGCTGTTCAACTCTTTTTGCCCTCTCGAACAGAAACACGATCAAAAAGGAGTTCATCGTTGGAAAAGGAAACAAGCAGAAGCTTCTCGAGTTCTAGAAAATCAAGATCGGCCCCAGACAAACATCTAGAAGTTCTTCTGGTCGCTGATCACCTTTATCTGAGTAAATTCTCCAGCGATAAAGAAGCCACGGATCTGCTTTTAACGCTGGCTAACATTGTAAGTAATAAAATTCCACTAATTTATTCGTATTTTTCTCGTTGCCATGTTCCCACCAATAACGTAGCTCCATTTTCTGCCTTTAAAAGCACACACAACCCACAATTCCTCTATTCGCTCCGACGAAGGGCTAACGCTCGAAACGTCAGCTTTTGTAATCGTTACGGTGGCCAATTTACCATTTCAACTTTGTTGATATATCCAAATTATAATATTGTAAGTACTTTATTTCGTCGTCTATTTACTTTTTCACTTTTTGATTCATTAATCACTCACTTATCTATTTTTCTATTTATTTATCTATTTACCTATTTCTTCTATTTATACAGCATTTATCAATTTGTTCCTTTAATAATTTTGCATGCTACCTCTATCTGTAAGACTAACTTTCTATAACACCATGATTAAGCCCATTTTTGAATACAGTAGTATTGTGTGGGGAGACAAAAGAAATACAGTTCAAATGGACACTTCACTTCAAAACAGAGCTGCGAAGATAATCTTTGGCAGAGACTTAAGAGATTCTGCTACACAAGCTTTGAAAGATCTCAAGTGGTTAACTTTAGTCAAAAAGATAACTATCGACCGATGTATTTTTGTTTACAAATGCCTGAACAACCTCATTGAGTTTGATTTTGGTTTTAAATCATTTAAAAATAGACATGATTACAATACTAGAAACAAACAAAACCTTGCATTTGAATTATCTAAGACAAACTGGGGTTTTTCAAAACTGTCTTACACTGTGGAAAGGACTGGAACACCATGACTTGGAAACCAGAAACGCTGATATCCTCATTGCCTTTAAGAAATCAATTTTTAGGATTTTTTCTTGGCATTATATTTTTCTATTTCGCATATACCTTTCTTATATTTTACAATCTTTCATATATGATATTAGATACCCTCATTATTTATTTATTTATATTTTTTTACATTTAGTTAGGACCTCCCTGAAAATCATGTTTGTATCAGTGGGGCATCCTCATTAAAGATGAGGATGCTGACACATAACACGCTGTGTGTCATAGTGGGCGAAACAAGGATACCAACATTTTGTAACGCCAGCTTAGCGTCTGGAATCTGTTAGATCGTGGAGAAAGATACACGGCGAATACTTTTTTAGTTTCGTATACAAGATCTTGGCATCATCAATTTTTCTTTGCTGTTCTTAAAGTCTATACAAACTATGAATGAATTAATAGAAACAACGATTTCTCTCCTTTGGTTTGCTGAGAGGAATGGCTAATGGTTCAGTCTTAACTCAATGAATTCAACCCAGTTTTTTCAGTGTCACGTCATAACATGTAGAGTGGAACTTTCATTCCAGGTTAATGCAATGTATCACGACAAAAGCATTGGGGATATCAAAGTCACCATCTCTGTTGTGCGGATAGTACTGCTTCATCGGGGCGTGAGTATCGTTGGCATAACAGCATGCACATGTCAGGAAATGACTAAACGTAGAATTTGCTAAAAAATACTGAGTAACGAGGGAAAGTACTAACTGTGTGTTCGGTTAGATCAGCCCTCCGAACCACCACTCTCGAGCGCTCTCCATCTATGTTCAAAACTTTCATAATTCTCTCCATTTGTAATTAACAATTATTCGCCGTAGGCGAGGTGAATATCGTCGAATAATCCCCCCGACTTCGTCTCGGGGATTATTCGACATTGTTATCCAACTACACCTAGAAGAGTACAAATAACGCAATAGACGAGTACAAATATCACGCGGTATTTGTACTCGTCTATTGTAGTACCGGTTAAACAGGTTTTCTCGCATCGCGCAAGCGAAGAATTGGATTGTAGTTGCGAAAAAAAAAATGGCGTACAATTTGAATCATATTTCCGACGACGAAGAGTCAGAATGGCTGGCAAATATAGATCCAAGTTCATTAGATGAGTCGAACGGAGAAAAACAGCTTGACGACCAGGAAATTTCTTCATTTAATGAAGAAAGTAGAAACAGTAGCACATCAACGCGTCAATTCCGTTCCGCTTCGCGTACTTCTGTCACGCACTCCCCGTAAATAAACATCCGCGAAATTCGCCCGCACTGAAATAACAGTTTGGCGTGTTGGATAATAAATAAGTTATTATACGTTTTGTTGTGTAGTATCGCTGAGTATTTTTACTCGTTATTTTATTTTGACTCGCCCTACGGCTCGTCAAAATACGGCATAACTCGTACACAACAAAACGTCTAATACTACACAACAAAATACTACACAACATATACTACACAACAAAACGATACTACACAACAAGACGTCTAATAAGATATATATATATTCACCGAACCTGAGGCGAATAATTGTTTTAGTCTAATTTGAGAGCTGAACAACAGAGAAATTTCTAAAATCATAACATTTTAGTAACATTCATTAACATTTTATTTCAACATTTTATATAAATCGCGTGGAGCGGTTTATATAGCGTCATATAAGGAACCGCTCGACCAATCAGATTGCTGGAAACTCTTTGCTCAGCTCTGAAATTATACTAAT